GTGTGTGTGTTAAATCTGCATTCTACAAACTTTCAATGTAATCTATTTTTTTTTTTTAGAATCAAACACTTTTTATAAGCACAATGAACACTGGAAAGTGATTTAGCAAATGCTTTGGAGATGGGAAGCAATCATCTCCTTGAAAGGAAGGAACATAGAAATTTCATTACAGGCTGGGCGGTGGTGGTGCACGCCTTTAATCCCAGCACTCGGGAGGCAGAGGCAGGCGGATCTCTGTGAGTTCGAGCTAGTTCCAGGACAGGAACCAAAAGCTACGGAGAAACTCTGTCTAGAAAAATCCAAAAAAAAAAAGTTCATTACAAGGAAAGATAATGAAAACTTTCTGCAAAATAGTGAGGCAGGTCTTAGAAAATAATCTTAGATCAGGAAACTCTAGAAGCATGAAGTATAATAAAAATACATGACAGCCTTATATATAAAAGCACTGGATTCATTAAACGATGTAGGTCAGAGTGTAGTATGATGAGGCTGGAGTCTAGCTGCTGGCTTGAATTTTATCCTTATTCGGAGCCAAAAGCCTTGGACAAATATCACTGCCCCATTTCTCTCCCTTCCTCCCTTCCTATCCCTCCCTTTCCATAACTCTAGCATTTTTATAGTAGTTTTTTTACATTATTTTTATTTACTTATTTTTTATTTTTTTACTTATTTATTTATTAAAGATTTCTGCCTCCTCCCTGCCACCGCCTCCCATTTCCCTCCCCCTCCCCTGACCAAGTCCCCCTCCCTCATCAGTCCAAAGAGCAATCAGGATTCCCTGCCCTGTGGGAAGTCCAAGGACCACCCACCTCCATCCAGGTCTACTAAGGTGAGCATCCAAACTGCCTAGGCTCCCACAAAGCCAGTACGTGCAGTAGGATCAAAAACCCATCGCCATTGTTCTTGAGTTCTCAGTAGTCCTCATTGTCCGCTATGTTCAGCGACTGTCACTCACATTTAGAGGGCCTAGTTCTGTCCCATTCAGGTTCCCCAGCTGTCAGTCAGTCCAGAATCTATGAGCTCCCACTAGCTCAGGTCCGGTGTCCCTGTGGTTTTCCCCATCATGATCTTTATTCCCCCTTGCTCATAGAATCCCTCCTCTCTCTCTTCAACTGAACTCCAGGTGCTCAGCAAGTGCTTGGCTGTGGGCCACTGAATCTGCTTCCATCATTTACTGGATGGCGGTTCTATGATGACAATTAGGATAGTCACTAATCTGATTATGAGAAAGGTCAGTTCATACATCCTGTCCACTATTGTTAGGAGTCTTAGCTGGGCTCATCATTGTGATTTCCTGGGAATTTTCCTAGGACCAGGCTTCTCCCTAACCCCAGAATGACTCCCTCTATCGAGATAGCTCTTTCTTCGCTCTCCTTCTCCATCCCTCCCCTGCCCCAGCCCCAGCCATTTTGAACCTTCACATTCCCATCCCCCATCCACTCCCTCCTACCCCCTCTCAGACAGGATCTGATTCTATAGGCCAGGCTCATCTCACACTTATGGACTTGGGCTCTCTCTGCCCCCAGTTTGGAGAACTTTTACCCTGGAGGTAAGGCACCTCTTCTAAAAGCAAGAAGCTCCTATATGGCAGAGCGTACAGTCGGGTGAAGAAGCAGTCAAAGGAGGAAAGAAGAAGTCTCAGGCAGCTATGTGCTGAACTGAGGATTAATGATTAGAGTACAAAAGGGGTTGGAATGTAAACAATAAGAGAATAAATAACTCAGTAGAAAAATGGATTGCGTGACTGGACAAAGAGGTTTCAAAAAAGTAAATACAAGTGACTAGAGATCACTTACAATTTTCAACATCATCAGCCCTCAGGGAAATGCAGATCTAAGGCATTTTACGATTGTACCTCATTCCTATCAGAAGAGCCGTCGTTAATAAATCAAATAAGAACAAACGCTGGCAAGGGTGAGACAGGAACCTTTATACATGGCTGGTGGGAACAGAAACTAGTGCAGTTGCTTTGGAAATCAGTCTGGAGGTTTTGCAAAAAACAGAAATAAAACTAAGTGGTAAACTAACTATGGCACCTTGGGCATAACACACACACACACACACACACACACACACACACACACACACACACAGAGACCTGTTCATTGCTGATGAACACACAGGAACTATGAAATGGAAACCGACTAGATATTTGTCAACTGATCACTTGGACAGAAATGTGAGAAACAGAATTATTGAAAAGAAGACAAGTTACAGGGTCCAGGAAGGAGTTAAGAGAGGGTGAGAGGAGAGAGTACACATATGAAACGATGAACAAACTTAATTAATAATAAAAGTACATGCTACAATGCCATGATGAATTTGGTGTTTTTTAAAAATTAAGATATTTACTAATCACATTAAAAATTCAATGTATTTAAGCAATATTAAACATGTATATATAATCTGTAAATTATATTAAGTTTATTAGTCTCTTAGAAATAATTTCACATATGTATCAAATTGGAATTGCTTATTTGGCTGATGTTTTAAAGTTATTCGTTAGTTGAAAAATTACGAGTTTATTTTATTCTCCAACTATTCTGCATGTCTTCAAAAATATTTTGTGTCTTGAAGAGGAAATATGATTGCATTTTGATACTATGTACGTATATATTTAAATGAACGATGAATGAAAATCGTTGCTAATTATCTAGAAAAAGTCGAATGCTATTTTGCGGAGGCAGTGAGTGGCAAGTGTGCCTGATGTGTCATGGTGGAGTCATTCTCGAAAAGTGATGGCTACAAAATTGAGTAAACACAGAACCAATAAAGGAAAGATTTCCTCACACCATGTTTGGAGCCAGCTGGCTAAAGAGCACGTGCTGTGGAAAATTCTGAGAGACCTGTGAGGATTTTTCCCCTCGTGCAGGCATCAGCTGTAGAGTGGAAAACCGTCTCTGTAGATGACGCCACAGAACTGCCCTTTGCCCACTGCTGCCGGCGTGACCCCATTACTCTCCCACCTTCGTTCGAACAGAAGGCCCAGCACTCCATTTGCTGGAAGAAAACAGCAGCCAAAATGAGTGAGGTCCTCTCTTCCCTCGCAAGCATCTGCCTGAGTCACCGGGAGAAGCTGACGATCCAAGTCGATGACCCATTCTTTCTAGTTTTTGCTTTTATTCCTCGGGTCCTTGTGCTATTTTTATTTTCAGCTCTAATCTGCAGGGCCAATGCCACTTTGTAACCAAGTCTCTTCTAATTCCGTTTTACAGAATATGACTCCTATCAACTGACCACAAAGCCACAACCCATTACCAATGTTACTTTACTCAGCTGGAATCACGGCTGTGTCCAAGAGAAATCCCTGCAAGCATCTTGCCATCGGCCTTCCCGACAGATTCAGACCAGCAGAGAAAGCTTGCTCATCTTTAGTCTACTGTTCATGGATCCCTCTGAAGTCATAAATATTGATCAACTGCCAAAAAACACCTCCTAAGAACGGGCACTTACCTCCAGGAGTGGGTTCTTCCAGGGAACATTAACTTTTTCTGGACACTGGGCTAACTAAACACACTGCTTAGCTTCTTCATGGGTCAGCTACTCTTCGTTCTCCTTCCCCTGCCAGCCAAGCTAGAGAGACTGAGAAGGCTGCTCAAGGATTTCGTTCAAATGCTCTCAATCTTAACCACTAAAAGAATGCAATATTTCTTTCCAACAACAAAATTTGTGGGCATCAAAGGCCTTGACTGAAGGGAGAGAGAATAACAAGGAAAAGAATTTAAAAACATTTCTTTTTCTAATTTGAGCTAGAAAATCAAGAAAGTTATTAGGCAAAACCATTCAGGGTTCATTTTCCACCCCAATCTCCTTGTGTGAAAAATTCTTAAGCCTTCCAAGGCAATATAACAAACAAAAAGTAAAACAACCCAACAAAAATCTGTCTGAACAGATGTGAAAATAAGACCTACAAATAAAAGCCAAAGTGTACAAAGTTGCTTCACTATAGACCCTATCCGTATAATTCTATGAATCTAGGAAAAAGGTAACCTTCACCTGAAGAGATTCTGATGGATTGAAGCATCCCAGGCTGGACTAGTTCCTCATAAAGAGCAGTTGATCCCCCAAGTAAGACTCCTTCAACAATGGAAGGGAACTAAGAAGCAGACACATACTGAGTTGTCCAGCTTGGAGTAGGTGAGCTGATTTGTCTGGCATGTCGGTGAGAGCTGAGGTAAGGACTGTTTCAGTTCACACGGGAGACAGGCCTTCTTCCAAAGGCACGGAGAAGTCACCAGAAGGTGTTGTTTGAAGGAATGCTGGATTGAGGCCATGTTTAGAGTTGTCAATTCAAAAAATTTGCTGAGAGATAGCAAATAGGACAGAACGAAAAACAATATAGGGCTTTCTTCATAATTACTAGACTTTGGAGTAATAAATGTCTGAATCATGTGGGAAGCTAAGGGACTGAGAAAGAAGGCAGGCATGAATGCAAGAGGCATTTCCGGGCATTTGAATAGGAGCAGGGCTCTGTAGCCACTGACAAGCTTCAAGTATGTTCCCAAACAGGGAGTTATTCCGGCCCTAAATGGGCAAGTCACACAGGCAGCTCTCCAAAACTATGTGCTGGAAACACCAGCCCTGACTGCAACAGTCACCCACAGCACCTAAAACCACCCACTACCCGGCAGATGACCCCATGAAGTGAACCAATCATCTGGTCCAAGCTCCCCACCTGCTCACGCTTGAGTCCGAAGACAGGGAGGATGGAAAAATTTGGGGAGTAGTCCCAGGCACACTAGAAGGACATTCATTCCTCAAACCCTCCTCTCAGGTGTTGCTGAGAGGGAGGATGACATCTGGCCAGTCCTTAGCCGTCCACCACTCCTCCCCCGGGAGCCCGAATTAGGAAACCCTGGACAACCCGCTAGTAAGTCCTCACGTGCTCAGCGCCTCCCCAGGCTTATAAAGGTCACCGTGCAGGGCAGTTGAGCTCACTTGCCTGGCGGCGCAGTCACAGCGACTTGGTCGGCTCCAGCCCCTGGGTCAGCCCAACTCCATCCAGCTCAGCCGCAGGCTCCTGGCTCCCGCCCGCCCGCCCCTGACTCTGCAAACTGCCCAGAGGGAGGAGGATGGAGACGCTCTCTGCCGCTCAATTCATGGCGCTGCTCTGCCTGGGTAAGCCCTCGCAGTCTCAAAGAGGAGAAGGGAACGGCCCCGTGCATTTGTCATAGGACAAGTACGGAGTTGTCCACCAGGTTTAAATGCACTCTGTGTTAAGAGGATGTCTTCTGTGAGTCTATCCCCCTCGCTGGTGAGACTGGAGAGGTGGGGGATGGATGGATGTCAAAACTGCATTTCATTGATAAATTCACTACAGGTATATATTCTGTGTGAATTAATCTCTCTTTTACTGGGCAAAATATAAAAAGGAAGTTGAAAAGGTTTTCTTTCTTTCTTTCTTTCTTTCTTCCTTTCTTCTTTTGAAAATGCTGTGGTACTAGAACAGCAAAGGTATGGAAAGCACCTCTGATAGATAATGATTTACTTTCTTGGAGCCGGGCAGGAAGAGAGGCGAGAGAAACCTTTGCACAAAGGATGCTGCTTACAGCCAGGGGCCTCTGGGATGTGTGCTTGTGTGTGTGCCTGCAGGGTGCTGGAGCCCCAGAGACCCTAGCAGGTCCAGAAGGAAGCTGCCACCAGACTTTCACCTGCAGCTCACCAAGCAGTACTTACCTTCCCAGGGGATTCAGGCAAGCGATGCTTAAGGCTACCTGCCAGAAGCTTCTAATTTAGAAAGGCGGTTTCTCCTTTATTGGTAGTTTGCTTGCTTGAGATGAGTTAGTTTTTGGGGACAGGGGCTCAAGAGTCAGGGAGATCCCATTGTAAAATTCTAATTTTTGCTTTATCTTATTTAATCCCTTTCCCCTAATTTCTTAAATGCCAGATGGTTTTAGAGTTAGATATAAACTTTCCTAATACACGAACATTTTAATAAGGAAATAAAAAGTTGCCGGTCTCACCTTCTTCCTGAACTTGCAGTGAGACAAATTCTCCTAAGACACATTTATCTGTGCAGGATGTGACAGTTAAATTATTATTTCGACATGCCTTACAGGGGTTGGGAGCCCTAATGAGTGCGTGCTATGCATAGTTGGAGCTTACACGTCTAAATGCAAGAACCCAAGTAGAAACTGGATCTGTGGTTTCTGCCAAAACAGAACTGAGAATGTCTTGCCAGAAGAGTCACCGTAAACAATGCCGAGTCGCCCTTTGCTTTGAGGTCTCTGTGAGAAGAATAAACTCAGAAGGGTGACAGTCTTCCTCGAGTTAGAAATGAACCTAAAGGACACAATGGTGTAGTGGTTTTTTTTTTTTCTTTTCTTTTTTCCACCTGCAAGGTGTTTTCAGAACAATGCAAGTGTCTGTTCTGTGCACCTCGGTGAATATTCTAATGCGAGACAGCGAGAGCCTCTGAATAACCTGTTGCTACCCACCTAGTGCGTGTGTGTTGTGTGTGTTTTTGTTGTCATGAAAGTGCTTAGCTCTTTATTGCAGTGCTTAATTATAGTTCACCGATTTCATCAGCGGCCAAACCCATTTCCAAATGAGCTAGGTCAGTTTCTGTTTTCCCAGTCTGTTGAGATACTTCTGGCCACTAGAAAAGTTCCTGTTGGAAGTTCTACGGTGTATCACTCTAGTCTGGTATGCAGGTCTGATTGTTTGACTCCAAAGCATATAGAAAAAAACAATAAAAGCAAGGTCACTTATAATGTCGGAATCTGTGATCTCCCTTCCCCAAAGAAAAGATTGCCTAGCTATCTCAGACTTTGTCCCTCAAAGGAAAGTGATATTTTAGATTTAAGTGTCCTTTTATTGCTTTTGTGGAATGTCTATGAGTTTATGATTATGAGAGTAAAGTTCTACCATCTATTCCCAATGCACAAAGTTTCGAGTAGCTACTCCCAGTCATCCAACTGCTATTACCTTTTATAAGTGTTTGATATCAATGCTCTTGTTTTATGCAAGAGGAAACTGACCCAAGTTCCCTTACAAAATAGACGATAAGCTGCGAGAGCGAAAGTCTAAGCAGTTATAGTTAAAGGAACATTAACGTAAAAGATGGAAATAGCCCAGTTAGGGATGCTTTTATTAATAATCTGTAATTTTACAGCTGAATTACCCTTCTGACCTTGTGATTGTTCTAGAGAGAGGAAGAGGTGTTTTCATTTTGAGCTCTGCGGTTATGTATAGGGATGCTTGATCCGAATGGGTTTGGGAGGCTACTTACGAGTGAAAAAATTTGCTCTGGCTCCACTACATGGTGAGAGAATTAAGCAGAGGAAATGGTCTTTCTTGAAAAGATGAGAAGCAGAATTTCCGTGAGACAATGGGCTTGCCTTCTGTTGGCACGAGAGTGTATTATCGCCCCAACTCTTGGCATGACCCGAGAAGACACACCTGGGCAGAAAATACGCTGACAGCTCTCCCTTGTCTGGATTTTGTGGATTTTGACCTCGGTACCCCAGGTGTCTTCTGCATTGTCTTGCCACATGGGCAGCTTAGATAATTGGAGTGTCTAGTTCAGTGCTGGAGTCCAAATCCAAGAGGAGGGACAAAAGCTAGCTATTCCCAAATGGTTGCTGTGGGCCAGTCATATTTTGTGTTCAGCATTTTCAACCCTAATCACTTCATTTTACCCTAAAAAAAAAACATGGAATAAAACAGATATGACGGCAGACACTAAGACTCAGAGAAATCAATTACCTTACAAAGACTTCGAGACTGGGGGCAAAATCAAATTTTAAGGTCACTCTTTAGGAGGTGTAAGCAGCCAGTGGTCCAAAGGTTCATGGGAATAATCAGAATGGCAGGAAGTAGCAGAGAAGCTCCGGAGTTGACTACGGCTGCCCCAAGGCTTGGAACCTGTCATAAGCACAGCTTGCACTTCTGAGTGAGCTTGCTGACTCCTCCTGGTGCAGAACCAAGCAGAAAAAACACATGTCTATCCTTTTAACCTGAGCTGAGAAGGTCCATTTTTTTTTTTACATACTATTCATATTTTCCCACAGAATTCTTAGATCTGCACTTCACTATGAAGTAGCCATCAACGCTGACTGGTCTTTTACCTCTTACTTTCCAAAACATATACTAAGGAAGGTAGGCAAGAAGAGATGGTTTTACATTTTTATTCCTCGAGTCTTTGTGCAAGTGTGGATTTTTTTTTCTGCCCAGTTTTGTGCATTTCCTGAGAAGGGATGCAGATGTGAAGAGTTCTTTCTAAGGAGACTGGAAATGCAGGTGTGGCCTCCTCATTTGCACTCTAAATATAGGCGTATGCAAATTGTCTATTAATATGGCCACAACTGCTGTGAAGAACATTGACCTGAAAGACAACGGGAAGGCTCCCCGACAGCCATCACCTTGGTACCAAAGTGCAATCCTGGAACATTTGGGGGGGAAAAAAAGAGGTAATCAGTGTCCTCTGGCAATACGGTTTTGTAAGTCTGGGTGTCTAGTTACAAAGCAGTCAAAGGCTCAGTTACATTCTAGCTTAAAGTAATAATTTAATTAACTAGCATACTATTTCTAATATCCAAGATCATCTGATGTCTGCCCCTGAAAAAAAATGTTAGCGCGTAGCCTCTGAGGTCAAAATTGTGAATTATAAATATGAGATATGAAAATGATTGACACACAAGCTTGTGTGCACATACACATTTATTGTGCATTAGAACTTTATAGATTCTAATTGACGGGCTCAGTGATGAAGGACACGCGTTGCCTTCGTGCACACCTGCTCCTCTGGTACCTCATACTAAGTCTGTATCTGAACAGGATTAGTGGGGACATGATGGAAGTAACAGGTTATGGTAGATATCAGTGATGGTTGGGTTCATAATTAGTTTGAAACCTTATCCAGTTCTCAGCACTACATTTTGCTATAACCAGTGATTCTTTAGATATGTACCTGAGACAGAAGATATCTTGAGATTAAGTCTAGTATAACCTCCCATTCCTTGTCTCCCTGTTTCTCTGTTATAGACTTTATTACTGAGAATATGCCTACCCAACTTCACCTAAACTGAACTAGGAGTGTAAGTGTGGAGAGGGAGAGAGTAAGAAGAGAGAGAGAGACAGAGAGAGAGAGAGAGAGAGAGAGAGAGAGAGAGAGAGGAGGGAAGAAGTCAATAGGAGAGTGAGGGGCAATCTAATCCACACATCTGACCTCACTCCCTGCTCTCTGTTTCTAGGAATAAGGAAATATTTAGTATGGGGATAAAACGAACCGAGCTAGAGCTGGAGCCTGTATCTGGGGAGTCTGGTGAAGGATTTTTGACACTTACACTACAGATATGGATGGGCTAATTCTCTGTGGTAGGTTGTCCTGAGCATTGCAGGGTGTTTGGCAGCAAACCAGGATGCTACCTGCTAGATGTCAGTAGCAACTCCTACTGTGATAATCATAAGCCCCTCTAGACCTTGTCAAACATCCTTGGCTGATAAGATTGGTCCCGGTTGAGAACCACTAATCCAATATATTTTTTATTGTCACCCATAATTCACAGGTTGAATTAAAGACAAAGAACTTTTATAGATAGTGCCAATCTAGTTACCAACTTCAGTGTTTTAAAAGTCACCTTTGGGAGTGTCGTGATAGAGCGCTTGAGCAATTATCTGTTTGATGTCTGCACCACAAAACCCATAAGCTTAGCAACGTCTATTGCTGGTTTTAGTGGCAATTGAATCCCATTCACACAGGGGCTCTGAGAGCTTTCTTCAGTCATGGCACAGCTATTCCCCTGCTCTTCCTGTTACACCCCTGCCCTTCCACAATGCTAAAGTTACCCCTTTCCGCCAACTTATTTTTCTCTTTTCTTGACCGTTTCTGCCTGTCTCTAATAACAATTCCCTGATTTTCCATTTTTCATTCCATATTGCTTCCTTGGAATATGTCAAAGGTTTCCACATACACAATATCTCATTTGGCTTTCAAATAGGTGTCACAGGCTCCTTCTATATTCCTTTACTCTGCCTGGATGTGTATTCCCCAGACCCCAAACATAGATATAGGTCATGCATGACCTCCAGACTGAAATCCAGTTACTGAGGCTTTCCTTCGTGCCTTCACTCACAATTGCCATAACCCTTTTGTCCTCACTGCTTTCTGCACATGG